TCATTTTCATAAATAATAACTAATTAATTTATTTACTGTTCGTAAATAAAATATAATTTGATATAATTTTTTTGTTAAAAAGATATTTATTATATTTAATAATATATATTTTCTTTGATTTCACATATTATTATACAATTTGTTTGTGCGAATTCGACCAGTGGCACATATGCAATTCGATTAATCTACACGATTCGTGATTATGTTTTTCATTAATAATTCATTAACAAAGCCATAATGAAAATTTTTAGAAAGAGAAATATTTTATTTAAAATTATATTTTAAAAATCACAAATTAATTACTTCTTCATTTTTGAAATATAATTATATCTCTATATAATTTGTTTTTAATATTTTCCATGTCTGCTTTAAATAATTGAAATTAATGTGTTAATAGAATCAATTTTGTATTGGATAATTAGACTGTTTTATCATAAAATATCACTTAAATGAGAAAGAATATTAGTTTATACATTATAAATATATGGCTTGAAATGATGAGAAATAGGAGGAATAGTTAACATAGGTAGCAGAATCGTTATCTGAAATATAGTATTTTAAGACAAATTTTATTACAGATTAATATGAAAATTTTTTATTTAATTATTTATTTATTTAATTATTTATGATTTGATTAAATTATTTTGTAAAGATCTTTAATATGAAGATTATTTTTATTTTCCAGATTTATTTTATTTAATACTTATTATTTTTATTTAATATACTTATTATACTTATATACTTATTATTTTATTTAATATACTTAATATACTTATTTAATATACTTAATATACTTATTATTTTATTTAATAATTATTCAATTTTGAAATTAATGGAATTAATTTTCTTATCCTAATATTTTTTAATCTTTGTTTTAGATTGAAAATTTTATTTTTAATTATTTCAAATGAATTTGTATTATAATGATCGAATTTAATATTATTTGATTATTAATTAAATTATTTGATTATTAATTTGAAAATAAATTTTATGAAATCTGTTATAACTTGATAATTTATTATAAAATCTTTTCTTAATATTTGTAGAAATTTATTGTTTTGTTTCCAGGATAATTCTAGAATTAATGAAAAATATTATTTTGCTTTTTAGGAAAATAAATTTGAATATTTCACAGAATAAGATTGTTTTATCTTAATATGTTTAATTTTAGTATACTTTTTTTTGAAAGAATTACAGTAAACTTATTGTTATTTATGTATAATTTTAATTTTATTTTTGTAAAAATTTTCATAATAAACAATTTTCAATTACAATTACTAATATTTTTTTGTTTAATAGATAATCAGAAGAGACCATATGCATTGAAATTTATTCGATGATATATTTAATTTCATATTAATATTGACTTAAACATAAGCATAAATATCTAATTAATTTCAAAAAAAGAATCTTACAATTAAAATGTTATTATAACGATTTATAATCACATTGTATTATTGATGAATCCACATAAATTAAATCGATATATAATATTCTATAACATTTAGAATGGCTAATAATTCCTTTTCACTGGAATAATTTTAATCCGCTTTATTTAAAATTCATAAATGCAATTATTCTTTCTATTTATTTCATTTTACAATAAAAATCATTGTTCAAATGAAATAAAGGCAGAGATTTTTCAATTAATGTATTAATCTGAATTCAAATCATTTCAAATAATTTTCTGTACACATAAGAATAAACAGATTTGTGTGTAGAAAAATACATTCAATCTTTTTAAATGAAATTTTGGGAATGTGATTTATTCTTATGAATTTTGGCAAATAAATAGATTGAATGTCATATAATGGATTTAATGAATTCACCTGGATTTAGAAATATTTATACAATGATTCAACTATTTAAATAAAGTGATATATAGTCAGTATTTTGGAATTTACTGAAAATTATTCAAAATAAATTTTTGTTAAAGAAATTAATATGTATGTTATATTTATAAATTAATAATTAATAAATTATTTTGTATTTTGTATTTTAAATTAAAATTATAAAATATAAATAAATTATAAATAATAATTATATATTATACACTGATTTCAGAAAATTCAGAAATAATTAGATAATGATTTAGAATAATTTATATAAAAAAATATCA